CACTTTGGCAAAGAGGTCGACACGTTGCACCCAACGGAACCGCAGACACGGCAGACAGGGCAGACACGTGCACTCTCCTGGGCAAAAAGGTCAGCCATTGCTACGGCTGCTGATGCCTGAAAGGCAAAAATCATGGCGCCTGAAAGCATTCGATCCTTAGGTCAATCATGGTCAATCAATCGCGCCCGAGAAAAACATTTTTGGCTTGGCCGATTGGGAGGTGTGTTTTTGTTCTTTTTTGGAGCCACAGCGCGACGTACTGGGCCACAATGGATCTTTGCATGCTTGTGCTGGCCGCACGGAGAAGCGTATTGCTGACCTCGGTCGGCTGACACGTCTGTGTTTTCCACAAGGGTCCGTAGGGAATTCGGCCGAGATGCCATTGCCAGAAGCATGAAAGGCTTTCGGCCTCGATCGCGGCGGAATACCCTCTCCCAAATCTGGTCCAACAAGTCACAGTTACACGACCTCTCATGACTAGCCCAACGGCCCAAAGGGTACATCACCAAGGCGCCATGATGATCACAAAGTCTTCCCAACAAAGGGTTTACCAGCAGCTCCTTAGCACAATGGCTTCCAGTGATCCCGTGTTGTGCGGCAGAATTTCGCGCCCGCGGTTGCCAAGACTTGTCAAACAGTTCGACCCTGTTCAAAGGCGGCCGAAACACATGATCAGGGTAATTGATTGGAGTGACCCTTCACCCTCCATGACGGATCCTTCATTCATAGTCTTCGAACATTTCCATAGCTACTGCACATATTCTGACACTTATGATTTGCGGATCTGCATTGTGTGGAGGCATAACTGGTCCGTTTCAAGAAAGGCACTACCACAGCTGCTGCCGCTGACATCTTTCCTGAGTTGCGCCAACCATATTCGTGCAGAAGCCACTCGCATGAACATAACAGACGATCAGTCAAGTTGAAATCCGCCCGCACCGAAGGTACCGAGGCGTTGTGGAGGCTCGCACACACTGCAAGATAGCTGCTGGATTAGTCCGCTCAATTAGTTTTAGCTTTGAGGGGGTGCTCAACTGGATGCTCATTTGTTGGATGGGAAGTGGTGTGCTTCACAGTGTTTTTTGAAAATGATCTGGCTTCGGAGGTATGACGTTCGCGATGCCGGCTATGCACCCCAGTGGACGGTGCAATGTTAACATCGTGGGTGTGTTCGTCCGTGTGTCCTGCCCGACCGAGACAGACAGACTGAGACAGACAGACCGACCGAGACAAACAGACCAACACAAACAAACGCACACACTCCGTGCGGGCGGCTTCGAGCGCGAAGCGCTGTGAATAGCATCAGTCCAGTAATTTATATATATATATATGTATATACGGAGCCGGCTGTCGCCCAAAAACATCCAAATGAAATAGGTCTTCACGCTACCTCTGGGGATGTTTCCCATAGCCGGGTTTTAAATGGCATAGCCAAAGGCATTGCGGGTGTTTCCATCAAATTACTCATGAAACCCACTGGGGCCGCCCGTGTTCAGGATCGCGTGTGGCATTTTCAGTTCTCTTCAGCCCTGTGAGA